AAAGAGCCATCAAGAGACAATGGATGGCTGAATACAGGCTTCCTGAAGACCAGTCCTTAAGGGCACTAACATAAACAGGGAGGTGGCTGATCCAAGGGATTATAAATCTAGCATGTGGGAACATGGTTGGAGCTTTAGTTCAAAGTGCCCCACTGCCATTTTTTCAGTGCAGGGATGCTGATACACATGATGCTCAGACCCTTTTAATTAGCAGGGCTCAAGCACATCTATAAATGCCCAAAGGCAGCGCAAATAAACTATCTGGGGGAAACAAAAAGAGTGCTCCAAAAGGAAAATCCATGAGAATAGGACTAATTTACCTAATTAATTTACTATCACTTCATCAGTCTTTAAATGCCACTGCAGGAGGTCAATAGATTAGAGACCTTAGTGTATTCACAAAGAAACTTTATAGATGACACCAAAGTGTGCCACAGGAAGTCATTTCCCTCAGCCTCAAGCATGCTTTCTGGGTTGCTTTCATTTTAGCCCCCTTCCCACCCCCGCACCAGCAATCGATGTTCACAGAAACAACTTAATGGAGTAGTAACTGACTATAAAACTAACTCCTTAGCTGCAGTAAGTGACCCATCAAGTCTGTTACTCTGCATATGCATCTCTCCAACAGAAGCAGTGAAGCCAAAAGAATGTCAGTTTTCATTCAGTGTTGGGGAAGCACTATAAGAACAGAGGCGAGACAATTCTTTAAGAAGGGAGTAACCACAATTGCTTCATAATGGAACTCAGCAAGTTTGAGAAGACAGTATAATGGGATAAAGTGTTTTTGGATCAATGATCCACATGTGGATTCAAGGGTCTACAATTCCCACATGGAGGCCGAGCAATAATTTTCTCCATAGAGAAGGTACCTAGTAATCCCATGCTTCAGGGCATCTACTGGTTATCACCACAAGCCATGAAAGATTCCCTTCAAAATGCTTGATAGGCTCCCTGCCTCTTCCTCCAACTCAGGGCCAAATGTATGGTCTGCAGGCTGGATCTGGCCCACATCATCGCTCCATCTAGCCTGCAATGTTCCAAGTGCTGGGGAATTACAGGGTGGTGGGGAATGGAAAGGAACCTACTGCAGAACCTGGGTCTGCACCGGACATGGCCCTTGGTGACAGAGTGAACAAGTGAGGACTATGCCGACACTAAATTGCATTCACCCTTCAGTTAGCTACCACAGCCCCTTGTGCCACCTCCACTGCTGCTTGCCCTGCCACTACTATTCTCATTTGCCCTGTAGATCCAACCTGAGGGACAAAGCACATCTGACACCCCTACTTGAACACATCCACTACTGGCTCCTGCTGGTCCTTAAAAAGTTTTCAGGTGCCTCAGTGGAAAATACTGCTGTTCTGCTCAGGGATACAGTGACCACCAAGTTGGGGTCAGGAGGGACTCTTT